ACTTGACAAAGTGAGCATTTTGTCTCATTTAGAAATGACCTAGATAGAAAAATTGCCCCCACACAGCGAGCACAAACATACATGTATTCTCAGAATTCACATTTGCTCCTTCCAGTTCTTTCTGGACTCTGATGAAAACTCCTAAATCTCACCGCCAGAACTGACTTTTTTTATGAAGTAACATTCAGACCTCACTGGATTCTAACTACACCAGAGGTGGCCTTTCTGATGTCAGGAAGGAAAAGGAAATATATATGTGAAGAAAAACAAAAACTGCACAGTCTTACCTGAGTTTACTTATATGGAGATGGTTTCAAATGTAGAACCACAGAGAGAGCAAAGCAGTCAGTTTGGTTTTAAAGAGATATGATCATGTGCTTGTGCAAGCGCTTGACAGACACATACAGCAGCCTGCAGTTCGTACATCTTGTTCTCATGCCCATTTTAACAGTGCATCAAGCACTGCCAACTCATTATTTACAATTATGGACATGATCACAAGATGTATGACAAATCTTACAAATGCATCTCATCCCAGATACCTTCCTGACATCTCTTAACACCGTAATAATGCTCATTGAGTCAAAGGAAGATCCTCAACCTGACCCTCCTGTTTGCCATGTAACTATTTTCCTACAGACTCTTTTAGGGAGGAGGATCTGTTTGTTGTTTGTGGGATTATGCTATGCAGATCACAATTTGCCTCTCTTTTCTGCTGATCTATAGAACACAATGAATTCCATAAATAAAGTTTTGTGTTGGGATCAGGAAACTAATACTTAAGTAAACACAAGTTTGCTTCACATCTGTCTGATAACACATTGAATTGTGGATAAAAAAAAAAAACATTACAGAACATATTCTTGGAAAAAGCCATAACGTGCATTCGCAGAAAGGTGGGATTAATATCTCTGGCTCAATCTTTCTCTCTCCCATTTGTTTTCACTATATATCTCTGACTAGATGTATGTACATAAAGATAAGACGTGTTCTTCTGTGTTGCCAAAATCTGTAAACAATCATGTGAGTAAATATCCTATCTTTTCAGGTCTTTCATTCATAACTTCCTGGAGGAAGTAAACTAGGAAAAGAAGGTTGTTTTTCACGAACAAAGCCTAGAAGACAAAATGAATCACTAGGCAGATTGATGAGCCTATGCAGAACTGATTTAGCTGGCTCAACGTTAGGAGCAGCTCTCAATTTTCACATCACAGAGTTAAAACGAGGTATCAATAAACAACCCCAAGTATATATAGTTTGAGTATAAATTTGCCAAAAGTAATCCCAGGAAGTTCCAGCCCTTGAACCTCTACAGAGTCCATGCTGTTAATAATATTTGCTATACAGCCCAGATCGCATGTAACAGACACAAACTGCGTCTATTAACTTGGATCTGCAGCCAACAGTAGAGGCCAGAGTACGTAGGTGGCCTGTTTTGCAGGAAACATTAGCAATCTGTAGTTGAGTCAGGCAGAAGGGACCCTCCCTCCCTCCGTGCCCATCCAGGCTCCTGGGAGGGCACAGTCCCTCAGCCACCTTCCCTGCCCTCAGAAAGGACCGTCCTCTTCATCCTAGCTATGGTTTTGGATTCTCAAGAACCACTTGAAATTAAGTCAAACACTCAATGGGAGATGATTTTGCTGACTGTAGGGAACTTTTACAACATTAGCAGCAATTTAAGTTTGTGTTTTTTTCTTTCTCCCTCCCTGGACGTGTGGGCTGTTCCAGAACTTGTATCAGAATATTCAGTTCTCACATCTATTTATTTAGTTAGCAGTGGCATTCCTATTTTTATAGCTTTGAGTTTTTAACTTTTTTGTTAGCAACGTTAACAAGGTTTACAGCATATAAAGTGAGCTGTGGCATTTAAAAAATGTTAGCTTAATGTAACACCAGCTTTTTTTATATACATGTTCAATGGCAAACTCCTACTGACAGGCAGAATGCATTTCTATGTCTGGGCAAGTTTATAGATGGTGTTCCCACCTCTGGGCCACAAGGTCACAAATTTGTTTCTGATTCTATTAAGGAAACACTCAACAATGGTAAGTTTGTGTGCTTTTTTTCCTTCCCTCCCCATCCCCCCTTTTTTTTTTCTTTAATGAGAGGGGACTGCTTTATGTGATCCAAGATCTTAAAGATACTCCAAGGAATCTCTGTTTAATGCTGAGCCTTTCACCCCCATGCCCTGACTGAATAACACTGGCTGCAGATTTGAGAAGCTCTGTCTGGCAGTAAGATAAAACAGATTTCAGGGAAATTTGATGTGACTGAAAGAAGAAGAGGCAATGTCTCCCTCATTTGCCCATGCACAGTAAGAATAGTTACAGTGCCTTCTGTGCAATTTCATAGGAGTAAGATCTGACTCTGCCTCAAAAGGACGTACCGAAGTGAAAGACACAAGACTTGTTCTCAGTTCCTATTTCTGCAGCAGTTTGCCTGTGTGACCCCGAGGCCCTCACCAGAAAGCTTTGCTGCCAGGCCCTCCATGACTGTGGGGTGGAAGGAACCTCCTTTTCCTGTTTTCATCTGCAAGATCTCAGAGGTCAGGCACTGGTGTCTATCTCAGCAGAGGCTTTTCACACTCCATATTAATGGGAATATTTGCTGTACACATGGCAGGGACAAATAAAAAGACAAACAAACAAGAAGACATTAGAGGTGGCTTTTATTGCCCTACAACGTACCAACCTTGTTCTTTCCTGGCATTAATTTAGCTAGATATCTTCTCCTCCACACCACGTGATGGCTCAAGCTGGGGATCCCTCACTGTAACGGCTTTCTGGATGACACTCATTTAACAAGAGGGGAGGTAGCATCCATGCTTGTTACAGCCATCACTGTCCTGTGTTGACTTCATGCTGGAGGACAATGCACTCTGGGACTTTATGGCTACAAACATAGGGACTTCTTGCATGAGAAATATCTGGGGCCTATCAATAAGACTCAGGTGATGGGGTAAAATGATGAGCAAAAGAGAAATAGAACTTGGCGGAGAGAAAGGAGAATAAGTATGCATCTCTGAAAGAATTTCAACATCACCTATAACTATCCAGAAGGCAAGCATGAAAATGCAGAAGAGCATGAAGTGTAGCCCAATTTCTGGGTTGCTTGGGTTATTGTGAGTAGGAGGATCAAGGCTTGGTTTCAAATGCCTCACTAGTGAAGGGAGATCAGCTGGAATAAAGCACGAAGACAGAATTTCTAGGCTAGGAAAAAAAAGCCGATCATGTTGCAACAGACCACAGGAAGGAGAAATTGGCTGCAGTGTCTGACTGGAGGCCTTTTAGCTACATGAGAGGACTCCAGGACTATTCTTTTTCTAATTTCCTTATGCCCCCAAGGAAGCTCCTGGTGGAAATTTGCTTCCATTTATGGGAGAACTGGAAGAATGAGAGCCAGACTGTGACTGAGCATCTGGCAATGAGAGGGTTCAAAGGAGAGGAAACTGCTCACACAAGATTTGAAAGTGCTATTCTGCACTGATAATTGACCTGTGCAAGGAGTGCTTTTACGGCTACTGTAGGTCATTACAGGCAGATACTTTTGAAAAGTGCTAGCTGAAGAAACTCTCTCAGGTGCACATCTCATATGATAACTTCACTGTCTGAAAACTGTTATCATCGTGCAGATTCTTGTCACCAAATGAAGTGTTACATCATCCTTTGTGCCTTATCACCTGCTTCAGACTCTCTTCTCCGTGATATGTATGGGTTTGGCTATTAAAAGGCGGTCTGACAACCACAAACCTACTACTAAACATCTTTGCTCAGAGGAGACATTTGTTCCTAACAGGTATTCCTGTTTTTCAATGCTGTATTTGGTTACCTCATAGATAATGGTTTATGATTGTTGTGCAATACCTTTCTAAATCAGGCTGCAGCTTGTCTTGCTCCTCCTAAGGATGGCAAGTTTTCTTTTGGCTTTAAAAAAAAATGTGATTTCTTCAGGTTAAAAAAAGAAGTCCCTACTTCCCTTAAATTCCTTTAAAATAACAACCTACAGGTGAGAAGCAGGTATGCGTCTTCCTACAACACTCAGGCAGTTCTCCACTAAAGCAAATAATCTGCTGTCTCTATTTACTTGGTTGCTGCTATAAATTACTCCGGCAGTTCACAATGACATGGGAGAAAAATGTATTTTTAATGCATTTGCAAATTTATCAGAAAATAATCCCAAAGGTCAGCATGGCTTGTCCACAGGAGGAATGATTAATAAGCAAGGAATAATCAATCGCTTTGCACCACATTCGGGTGTTCTGCTTTGTTTAACAAATATATATTAAAAAAAAAAAAATACACAGAAATTTTGACTGTTCCAGGAACATGGGTGAAATGTATTCAAGGCAATTGGGAGTTTTTGGTTTGTTACTGCTTGATGGCATTATGACACCAAAAAAGAAAAAAAAGTTGATTAGACTTTTCTATAAAGAAAAGCAGCAGATGTTCGCCTTCCACTTTCCCCTTACCTACAAGAGCTATTTGTGAGATAGTTTTCCATTCTTCTGTTCCAATGTTTCAAAACACTTTTCTTCCTACTTTTCCACTGAGGAGTTTTCCCTCCTGAGATACTGCACCAACATGAAATCACTATTAAAACAGCACAGGCAAGTGACAAATACAGAAATTCATCTTGCTCGGCAGCAGTCCGTACAAAGCACTATTTTTGTGACAATGCTAAAAGACACAGTCTTGCTCCTGGGAGAAAAGGATGAGTACCAGAACTGCTGTGCGCATCTGGCTTGGGCCTGTCAGCCTCTGCAACACACACTGCATACACCACACAAGTGGCTCTTTTCTTCTGAAGTACAGTAACAGACCCTGAGTGTGTAACAAACTAGATCTCAGTGGTAAAAAAGAAAAAATGCTGAAATCAGCCCAGCCTCTGCTCTTTGCAAATGTCATGTCTTACATAAGATATCCCTGTACCAAAATCACACTCCAATGTCTTCTTATACCCAACCACCACCATGACAATTTCTCACCCCCTCTAGTAGTTACCTCATGCCCTCAGCGTTCAGAGGCACTCTCCTTTCCTTCTGTCCCTCCTTCCTTCCCCCGGGAACTGGCATCACTCAGCGTTTTGGCTAGGAGACCAATTCTCCAAACTGAAAACATCAAAGCATAACTCTGGTTAGATCTCATCCCAACCCTCTGAGTTTGTTGACTTGGAAAGTGAATAACTAATAAGGCAGCATGCCATTGTTTTCTGTTTATTATAATGGAAATAAATTGTTGGCTCCAAATCAGGCACTGATTGTTCCTTTGATATCACTGCCAGGAAGCAAAATAAAATGGCTTTTTAAAAATCACCTTTCACAGAAAGTGCCACAGGCATTTGAAAGATGAGCCTTTTTCCATGTCAAAGGGCTCCTGCCAGAAGTGCCAGACACACTACCACAGAAATTCAAATCCTTACCTCTCAAAATAAGAAAGTGCCAGTGAGAAGGTGAAAGCAGGGCAGTAGGATGGCTGCAGCTGGCACGCTGCAGTCCTGCAAGTGCTTGTGGCTGCAGCAGAGCTGGCTCTGCAGTGAGGAGCACATCCTGAGGAGTATGAAACACATCCTTTGCTTTTCCTTTTTCTTTTTTTTTTTTTTTTTTTAACTCAATAAAGCACAGGTGGGCTGGGTGGACTACTCTCTGTGCCTGGCAGCTCTTAAACTAATAATATGAGATTGAAGGAGCCAAAAAAGATGTAGAAAGGGTATTGCCTCAGAACTTGAACCACCCATAAATCTTGCTTGTGTGTTTTTTTTCCTGTTTTTTTTTTCTAAGCTACACAGAGCAGCAATTTCTCTGCACCCTAAAGCTTTCTCAGCACTTTAGCTTCTTCCCTACAGATCATAAGGTGTGAACTTCCAGTTACTTGAGTACTACCGCCTAATGAGGGAATATGTTGTACATTGGCCCCATGCACGGACTGAAGCTTCCTCATCAGAGGCTGTAGTTGGATCCAGATCTTAAAGCGACCCAGAGCACAGTGGTGTTTGGATTTCATGACGTGCTGCAGTTTGATTTGGCTCGGAGCAGAGGATGAAGCCGAGTGCCAGATTCAGATCTCAAGCCAAACTTGGATTTTGTATTTCAGCTACCAAACTTCATCATGGGTTGGCAAAGTCACGCTCTCACCTGCTCACACCATGTGGAGAACACCTGTGATGTGCTGGAAGGGCGGCTGATCCTGCTGTGAGAAACTCCCCGTAGGGAAGCCAGCATGTGAGAGGCTGCTCCAAATGACTGGTGGCTGCAGATGGCTTCGTGTGCTGGGAGTGCAGGGCCAGTGAGGCATGCTCAGACTCTTCAACTGCTAAGAAAAAAAGTTGAAAAGAAAAACTGTCAGGAGCAGACTGCAGCTTTACTCCTCCCTTTGTTGTCATGACTGTTGAAACTGGAGCAACATTTTTGTTTGTGGGACTGGGACTGGGATGCAAAGGAGCAGCATGACCAGAGAATAAACTAGAAGAACTCCATAAGCACATAACTTCCTACAACAGCATGCTTTTCAGAGTATCCATCCTGATGCCCAAGGATCTGTTGCTCAGCATTATTTACTGGTCAATGCTTTTTCCAAAAATCAAAAAAATTCCCATAGCTTAACTGGTAAAAGATCTGTGTGTGGCTAACAGTGTGGTCTGCTAAATATTAAGGCCTTATTTGACACCTATCTTATGCTTATATTTGCCTCTAAGTGCAACCTTATTTTGCAAAGTATTTAGGCTTATTATTAACTTCAAGGATATGGGTATGTCCACAAAAGTTGGGACCTCATAAACTGCTTATGACATAATGGTCTTTTCTGAGCACCTTTTCTTAGGTGCTTTTCTGAACTGAAAGGTTGGAGGGGCTTTCACCAAAATGCTCTGGGATTAAGTAGAGACTTTCTATCACCTTCAATTCCTTATTTTTTTATACTTACTGCTATCTTATGATGGAATATTTGGAAAGAAAAAGGAAGGACTTTTTCTCCAGATAATATCATTTATTCTCAATTATTTCTAGCACTAAGGATGCAATTACTGACCTGCAAACACCTGATGATCACTGTTTGGTTTGACCTTTTTATGAGTGTGTAAGTTTGGTAACTAGCCCAATAATTTGTTTCCCAAGTGGGTATAAAAGTCATCTGGAAGAAAAAAAACAGTGTCTGAAAGTTTTCTGTGCAAACGGAAGATTCTGCTAGCTGGATATATGTGTTCATTTTCGGAAATGGTTCTCAGATGTGAGGCTGAATTTGCTTTCCTAAAGAAATCAAATATAAGTCTTTAAATGCAAAGCAGTGCTCGGATTCTTGCTTACTTTATTAAAAAGTCAGTGATCATCGCTACCTGTTGATCTTACGTGTTTACAGAAAACAGGTTCAAAAAACTATACAGACTCCAAAAGATACTGTGACAGAGATATGAGGAAGGCCTGAATGACTCAACATGGTCTTTGCAACCATGTTGTCCCTTCCCTGGCATCCGTTTACCCAGGGTGCAGCTGGCCTCAGAGGCTTTGCACAACTCTTTGTGGGGGGGTCGTGGTACCCCAAAGGCAAAACAGAAACCTCAGGTGACAAAGGCTTCTTTGTACTCAATATGTGCCCCTTTGTTTGTGAGCAAGGCTGAATCACGAAGGTCACCTGAGGAAGAAGGTGGATGCTATGAAATTCAGTGGGTTGCTCCGTTTCAATCCGAAAGCACTGGTGTCTGGCTGAGCATTACTGGCACATCACATTGCTCAGTGTGCACTTATCTGTCCTATCTGAAGAGACACAAGTAAATGTCAGACCTTAAAATCCCCTTTGCACTGGTACTCTGTTACATGAAATTAACAGGACCTCCTTGGAGAATGTCGAAACATTATATTGCGGCATGGAGAACTGATACTAAACAAAATTTCTGCTTCTGCAGTTGATTTGTTTGCAACTCAACTTACCCAGCAAGTTACTGGAAATACTGCAATGCAAAGAAAGAACTTCAGTGCAACTTCAGTGCTAAGTCTACTCCTGTTCTTTTCTAGAAAAGGCTCTGTGAAACTTTAGGAAACTGATTCCTGAGGAATCACTTCCTGGACACAGCACAGTCAATATTAGCATGACACTCATGCTTAAGTTATCTTGGTTTAACTTTAGAGCAGTATTTCCCTGAGGACCTCTCAATTCTGGAAGGAGTAACTTATCTCTGCATTCTGTGAGAGTCTGGATTATTTTTAATCTTCTGGCCATGTTACAGATCAATTTATAGTCTCACAGAGATGGTAAGGACAAGGATTTTGGGGCAGGCAAAAAGAGAGTTGGCTGTTGTTGATCAGTGAGTATTGCTATTTCTGAAAAGAACAAACTTCTCAGGGCAACTTATTCTATCTTCTTGCACTGCTAGCTTCATTTTCAAGAGAATGTGAACTGGCCCAGATCCACAAACTGCAGCAGACTGATGATCCCTTCAACCAGCATGGACTTTTTGATCCATGCATATTGAATTGTGCAAGCCCTCACAGCTTTGTACAGGTGCTGTGTACTAAAATAACAGAGATGATGAGAAGAAAACTTTCTTCTTCTCTTCCTGCGACAGTTTTATACATACTACAATGAGTTATCCCAATGGCTTTGTTTCCAAATGACCTCAACCGAGAACAGCACCTTGCTTGTTATTTTGAGAGACACAACTAGTTATCATTTCCAGTATTATGCCAAACATATTTCAGGTTCCCACTGAAAGTGACATCAAAGCTAGAGTTTGAACAAATCTCTGATATGTGCTACCCTTAATATTCAGCCATATATATTTTAAAATTCTCTATTTGTTCAGACTAAACTTATAAGTTCAAGTATGTGCCAGAAGTCATCACAAGGATGCACAAGGATGTGTGCTGAATCTGCATACATTTCAAAAATCACAAAAGGGAGAAAGTGCATTTTCTTCCAGTTGCACTTAGGTCTTACTCAAGCCTTACTTAGGCAAATGCAACTCCTGACACTTACAAAGAATGCAGTACAATGATTTCCTTAATTTTGGCAGATGAAAAGGAAGAACCACAGAGTTTTGTATTACTTCCAACCAAAAGAGTCAAATGGCCTAAGTTTACCCAAGGTTTCACAAACACTTTCGCAACAAACCCTGTCAGGACATTTTTACTAAATGCCAGTAATGCCCAGGATTTCAAGCTCCTGAATTTAAAATTTTTCCGGGTTCTTTGTTTGTTTTACACAACCTCCATCATGATTGTTTTCTTGCCCCTGTGAGTACCACTAGGATGTTTCGACTAAAGCACTTTCCAGGAATTAGTGAAGAATTTTAACTCATGGAGCAGAGAACTGACTTCACTTCTGGAAAACGTCATTCCTGGAAATGCCTTTTGATGAAGTACCCCTTCTTAGTGAGACCCAAGGGACCAGTTGCAGGAAGGGCTGGATGAGGCCATGCTCAGCAGGTGGCTCCCAGGAGAGGTCCCCTGGCTGCCATCTCACGCTATGTGAGTCTCTTCCACTTCTCAAAATGGCTTCAGTGACACAAATGGCACCTAAAGTGGGGCACATCACAAGGCTACACAGCTTTCTGTAAGCTTTTGATCAAGTCCTCCAGCTCCACTTTGTCCTGTCTCCATCTCTATGGAGGTGACCGCTGCCTGGGGCTGTCCCAGCTGCTTCTGTCTTGCCCCGTAAACCTAGGCATACTGAGCAGGGGTGATGGGAGGTCCACTTCCAAAGCACAATCCTGCCCTGAACTGACATATTCTGTGATCCTACAAAAAGGCTCATGGAGATGCACTCCGAGTGGGAAGATCTGCTACAAATACAAAACAGATGCCATGGGCCTTAGAAAGAGAAGAAAAGTGACATTTTCAAAACCATGGGCAGAAACAAGAGCAGAAGCAGGATTTCCTAACTTACTTGTGGTTGTCTTATTTATACTGCTGCTTCTTAAATCTTATCTTCAGCACTGACAATTCATAGCCTTTCCCAAATGTCTTTTCTCCTATGGTTAACACTCCGTAATGCTGAAGGTTTGAATATTAAAATAATCTTCCCAGATACAGACAGTTATCTTACATCAGTGAAATTGTGATGTTACTATTCCCCAAACACCTGTAAAACTTTCATTTTTCCTGCCCAGCAAAACCAAGATGACCTTCTCTTCTCCTTCCCCTGGTACTTCTCTTCCTGGGGCCCATGTGGCTTTCTTGGCTTGCCTTAGTCAATAGCATTCAAATCAGAAGACAGACGGATTTTCATTATGAGCTTTACAGTTACTAGTACCCCCAACCCACTGAAATACTGCAGATTTCTGTGGTAATTCTACTTCCAGAATTGTCAGAAGTATGCATAAGCCAGGCTTATTACATGTGGACACAATTTAGATGGATAATCATCCAGTAGGGAGTTATTTTTTATGAAGTCAAAATTTTACTGAGATACGGTATAGTCTAGAATGGGAAACTCTTACAAACTTGTGGGTTTTCTCTTGTGTGGGTCAGCATATTCATAGGATGCTGAAAGCAATAGTCCTTAATCCATCAGCCACCTCTCTAACAAC